AATTACAAGTGGGTCGACGAGCTGCCGCGTCTGGTGTCAGATTACAATGCGCGCAAGCATCGCACCATCGGCATGCGACTGTCTGACGTAACTTCTGCGATCGCCGAAAAACTCTTGGGTACAGTGTACATTGCGATAAAGATAGCGGGTCCTGCAAAATTCAAAGTAGGTGATTCGGTACGCGTGAGCAAGTACAAGACGATTTTTGAGAAGGGTTACACATCAAATGGATCACCGAAGTGTTTACGATCGTTAAGGTGCAGCGTACCAATCCTGTAACTTATCTACTCGAGGACTATCGTGGAAAATCCGTCGCTGGAGAGTTCTATGAGCACGAGTTACATCGCGCTACTCATCCGGACGTGTATCTCGTGGAGAAAGTGTTGCGCAGGAAGAGCGACAAAGTGTACGTCAAGTGGCTGGGATTCGATGGATCGCACAATTCATGGATACACAAAACCAATGTTATTTGATAAATTTTTAATTGATATTTTTTTTATACATATAACAATATAAGAATATAAACGTGTAAAATATTTTTGTTTTTATTATCCTTCCATTTTTAGAATATAATACAGATATAAAGTATGTATATAAATATACGATACAAAAAATAACAGTAATACATAATAAATGATACTACATAAATCATAATACTTATATACAACGTAAAAACATAATGCGTAAATTATAATGATAATAGTACATAATAGTAACAGGTATGTAGATTGTATGAGAATAGTTAAAAAAATGTAAAAAGACATACACAATGTAGTACAAATTAAGATAATACATAAAGCATAATAATAGTAATACATACTCGTATACGCTGTATGAAAATATAAAAAAAAAATGTAAAAATATAATATAAGTGTTGATATGTACATATATTACAAAAGTATCCGCCAATGCCCCCACGGTAACGTCTTCGTCGAATTCGGTACGACGTATCGTTTGTCATCGTATGGACTCAGATAGATTTTCGATTCGGATATCGTGTATATCTCGTGCAGTTTAGATCGTATACACGATTGACGACGAGTCATTTCGATCTCTTCGTTCAAACATCGCGTGTAATCGTCGGACGTTATCGTTTGCGCTACATTCTTCTTTACGCCTTTGACCTTTTTAGTGTCCTTCTTGCCGTCCATCCTCACAGCGTACATCTTCGCTCTGAGACCAACGAATTCGGTCATTATCGCACCGTTATTTTCGTCCTTCATCAGACCGGGTACTTTTTTGTTCGCGAGAGGCATACCGTACGCGTTGTCCGTCGGATAATCGCTCGTGTCGAATCTAGCGATATCGCGTTTCATAGTCTCGTAAACGTCCTCGCACTCGACGTGGTATATAAGTACTGGTATATATACTGTCTGTATCGGTGTACATTATTTTACATTTGTCGCTAAACAATGGTAACATATACTCGTGGTGAAATTCGTACAAGCAAACTTTCGATATGTCGAGTATACACATACCCATGTAAATCGATTTGTTGAACTTCACCTCGAGTTGCGCAGTTCGACGGCTATTAAATTTTCCGCAAAGACGCTACGGCTATGGAAATTTGGTTTTGCAATCATTGCCTCCGCATCGTACCATCCATCCCATTTTGTTAATAATTTTACGTCGGCGTGGTTGCGCACAATCTCCATAGTTTTACCGAATACCGCGTTATTCATTAATTTATACAAATTTTTTTCGAAATCGTTTTTCGCACGCGTTCTGAAATTTGTATTAAGTTCAATGTAATCGCGAAGCCATGGAGATTGCGCGAATTGTAGCACTCGATGGATCTTTGTTACGCGAAGACCGTGACGAGTACATTGCTGCAGATTGCGGTAATGGATGATGTAACGCTGTTTATCGTACAGCGTCGCTAAAAGTTTGTATTCGCGCTTGCCGGGCGGCTTATCGCGCGTTGGACAGAACGGTAGGTCAGTGTGTCGGTCGTGTATATGCTGCGGATACTCGAGATCGACTTCGAGAATGTAACCGGTGGGCGAATCCAGAGCGATCGCGCTCGCGTCAAAGTTCGCAGCGTCTTCGACCCATTGAAATTTGGCGTATGGCAATGGTTGACACATCGCCCATCCGTATAAATTGTTAACGTCGCAGTACATCAAGTACGACGACGGTTCCGATGGGTCGTACGAATGCATGTACTTGTTATTAGCCCGCGCGTATCTACCTGAAAATTGACTGAGACCTCCGCGTATACCGCGCTCTATGAACATGATCGTGTCAATATCAGTGAGCAACTCAAATTTTACACGCGTATGTTTTAACATCGCGTCCCACGTGAAACCAGGCAAGATGTAATAATGTGCTGGATCGAGACCGTAACTCGCGACGCAGCTTTCGCGGAAATTTTCGAAAATGTCAGCTAATAACAAGACATCGGTTTTCAAGTACAGATCACTGTACTCGCCGAGCGTTCGGATGGAGAATCGCTGCCATACGTTCGCCGCGTGAGCGTAATCGCTCTCGGATACGGTATCGCCCGTTAACGAACTGTAAAAAGATTCGCGCGGTGGTAAGCGCGTGTCCTGCAATTTTTCGGCACAGTCAACGTACTCGTACGGAAAGACACCTTTATGAGTCAGTAATTCAAATTCATCATCCAATAGTGTTGAAAATTTTGAACGTATAATTTTTAATTTGTCTTTATCGAGATACGACGCTAATTTATCGAGACTTGTACTGAGAAATTTGAAAGAATCAATAAAACGTAATTTTACACAATTTCTTTGAGAATTATTTTTCAGTTTTATCTTTAGTGCTATCGACATGTTTTGTGAAGGAGATGTATTTTTCCTTGGTTATCGGTAATACATCTACGCGTCCTTCATATGCTGTAGCGATTTCCTTAATTATGAAATGCGCGTCGTAGCCCGATAAATTGTGAAAAACGATCGGAATATATAATGAATTTTTATAATTTAAATTACAATGCGCTGGATCGCGGTATCTACCGGTTAAGTGGCAATGATCGCGTACCCGCGTGTCGTCCGACGCAAACGGTTTCTCGCAAATGTGACAACGCGTCGCGCTATGGTATGCCTCCCATTGACCTTTCGACAACATTTCCATGGGCACGTTGACGGATACAATATTTTTCACGCGATATGTCAAATCGTTCAGTTGTCGCGCGAACCGCGCTACAGTCTTTATCGCGATGGAACTGGTACGACGATAACGCGTCATCGTACGAGCAACGCACATAGTAGCCTATGCTAAATACCTCATGCTGTTGATACGCATACGACGACGCATTTTCCCTGTCGGGTTCCGTCTTCCGTAAAATGCACTCCAGGTCGGCGTAGACGACGAATGGAACGCGCTCCTTGTTGCAGAAATTCCCAAATTTGAGCCACTTTTCGTCCTCGCTCGGCAGTCGAATAGCGCAATCGTTGATCTTCTGGCAGTCCATTGTGTGTGATTGCAATTTCTCATTCGTGCTGAAGTAATGCAAACATCTGAAAAAAACAAAAAAATTATAGCAGTTATCTATATTTTATTAATAAGATGGGAAATTATAATAATTTTTCATGTGTACTTACCGATCGCAGAAATATTTCTTGTTCTTTTTCCTAGTTATTTGTGATCTCACGATACGCGACAGGTTCTTGATCCACGCAAAGTGGCCGACACCGTCGTCGCGTGGATCTTGCATGTACAGGAGATTGACATGCTTGTCCTCCTTGTCACTGGTGAGCCGCAGAGGAAGGACTTGTTTATTCTCGATGTCGTATACATTGATCGACACCGCGTTCAACCGTTCGAATTTCGGAATGTCTTTGAACGTTATCGGAAATTCGATACCCGCGAGATTCAGCACCGTCGTATAATGCGGATACGATGACTCTCGCTCCGCATGCTTTTCAGCCGGGTACAGAGCGGCGACCACCGACCACGCGAAGTACGCATTGTCCATCGTACTAACGTTGATCACCGCTCGTTTTGTCGCTATTTCTCGCGGTACCTCGAAGTAACATCCCGCGCGCATGGG